TGCCATGGTAGCCATGAACTCCCGAGCTGCATCCAAGAACCGTCCCAGGGATGGCAGGTTGAAGTCCCCCAGAACCATAAGCCTGGGGAACTCCACCGCCAGCACCGAGATGGCCTCCAGCAACTCAGGCAGGGAGGCTGCCACGCGGCAGGGAGGCTGGTACAGTAGCAGCACTCCCAGCTGTTCGCGGGTACCCAACCTAAGAAACAGTGTCTCACAGCCAGATACTTGTAGAGCAATGCCCCTGAAGGCCACTAGAGACTCTCGGATGACAACAGCCATCCCGTTTCCCCTGCCCTGGTATCTCGGCTGGTGCCACACCGTAAACCCAGCTGGGCACATTTCCGAGAGGGGCGCCCCGCCTCGGGCCCCAGCCAGATCTCGGTGATACATGCCAGGTCTGCCCCCCCTAAATACATAAAACATAAAAATTTATACAAAACATTACCAAAAAGAGAAAGTCCAAGAAAATGATGGCTTCTGGGGCTGAAGACAACAGGCCTCTAAGGATCTAGCCATCCCCACGTTTGATATCTTCTCTCCCCACCCCAACTTTTTTTTATTAAAAGTTGCCTTAATAAAATGGTATCAAAACTGTTTGCTTAATCACTCATAAGCAACAAGGTAAATGATAATGTTGCAAAGCTTTACAATCACACACACACATACAGTATATATACTGTATATATACATACATACATATGCAAACACACAATTATATTAATTAGATGATGAAGTAACTTCAAATCAGCAATGCTTACTTGGGTTTTTACATGAAGAGATTTTCTTATATATTTTTGCAGTTCCACTAGAATGACCAATTCTTTATAATGGGAATTATTTTATATATGCAGGAGATTGAATCACCAATCAGAAGACCATATGCTGAATTTAATTTTAAAAAGCCATTCACTTTTTAGGGAAAACTATTTTGTAGGTAACCACCTTTTAATTTTTCATCTTAAACATGTTTTCCTGGGAGTTAAGTTCCATGGAAGTCAGTGATACTTGTTTCTAGGCAAATAGATAGTCCTACTAGGAATAAATTGATGAATCATTACTTGTTAAAACTGATAAGGAATTTCAGACTCTTATGTAACCATTGAGCAATACAGTCCCTTCCACAACGTTTTGGAGATAGCAAGTGATAGAAAACAGAAACTAATGTGAATACTATATTGACAAACAATTCTAATAGCTTATTAGGTATAGCTTGGAGACATGTTGAAATATTAACTCAGATATGAATATTTTGAGTCTATATATTAAATCTTTTCCCAAGAGTTAAAAGCTAAGACCCTTTGCTCACTAACGAGTTTTAATTCTTGAGACTGATCAGTCAACCCTGACAGATCAGCAGTAGTAATATCATGCTCACCATTAAAGATGAAAGTGCCAACTTACACATAAGCTGGATTCACATGTCAACTTAAGCCATAATGTTTGGCTTTGGCTTAGTGTATTGTGTGAACCCTGCCACTGCAGCTTGTAAACCATATAAGCTATTGTTTAGTCAGTTGTGACATATTCAACAAATCAGATTTAAGCACATAATGCTTTAGTGCAGTCAAGAACTAGATCAAATAAGGAGTACATTTATGCAAAATTAGTCTAGACTTCTTGTGAATATGAAAGTAGCCCTCCATCCTACCCTGCACAACATTATTTTTAAAACAGTATATCTTTGCTATCAGTTCAAGATCGCTTGGTACATTTGAAATCATCATGAAATCAAATCAGCTAATAAAAATACTTTTCTTTCAGAAGAAACAATAAATCATTGGACTCCAGAATCTGTTAAAGGTGCACCAGAAGTTAGTTCTGCTGTTAACACAGATGAAAGTAAACTTGATCCAAGATCTGATGATGATGACACGTAAGTTATTACAACTGCTGGATGTGTTAACTTGGTCCTTGGTCCATTCATATAGTCTTTTGTTCAGCACACAACATTATTGAAATAATAACACTCTAGATTTTAGTATGTGTACAAGTATGCAAAGGCTGAGAACGACAACCATGTCAAACACAGGAGTTGGAATAAAACAGTAGATTACAATACTGCCAACTAGAATAAAGTTTACTCTGTATGTCTAAAAAGTATTGGACTAGGTTACATACAACTAAACTCATGTTTTAACATAAGTTTAACTGATGATGAGTAAATTGATGATTGAGTCAATATATGGATGATTAGTAAGTTGAGCAAAATTGTTATGGTAAGCTAAATTTTGCAGTTATCTGATCAATTCTCAACTGCAGCATTCAAAGTATGCTATCTATATACATATAGATAGATAGATATAGATATAGATATACATATATATGTAATAAACTCCAGTGAGATCTCCAGGAGCTTCCATACCCATTGTTGAGTTTATAGGCTGGCTGGGATTGTATGGAGCTGTGAATTTGTACAACCAAAGGCCCTCATAGTAACAGTGTATCTCTGTAGTTTTTCTGTTTGCAATGAATTCAAATATATGCTACAATAGTACAAAGACTGCCACAGAGACATTATACTGTTTATTTAATGGATGTATAAGAGCACTTCTTTATATAAATACCATTTTGATAGTTCTGCCCAAATCATAATCCTGTTTCGGATTCTGCATTCAACCAAGCCTGTTGTGTAGATATCACATCTACCATCTAGTGCTCAGAAGTGCTACCCAATTTGTGAATGCAGCATTCTGATAATTTAGTAAAAACGTAACACTATTTTTTTCTCCTGTACAGAAACTTTGAAGAATCTGAAGATGAACTGAGGGATGAGCTAGTGGAATCTTTGGAAAATGTGGTAATGTCTCTAGAGGAGGAGATTTTAAAAGGTCCAATTGAATCAGCAAACACAGAACAACAGGAACAAAGTATAGCCAATAGGAAACTTAGCAAATCTAGTGAGAGTTTGGAAGATAATAATGACTTGACTGGAGAAAAGCAAGGTGCAATCAGTTAACACATTCTTGGGTAATAAATCCTTACTTAATAATTAATGATAACCAATTGTATGCATGTTAAGAACCAAGAGTTTAGAAAGTGGGTGCTTCATCTTTTCCTTGCAAATTTCACAGAGTAGGCTAGTGTACTAAAGTAAAAATCTCTAGAGCTGTAAAGATGTATCTCTTTGCCATTAATAAGCCGCCAACGTAGATACACTTTCAAGGGTGCATCCCAATAACCAAATCTATAACACCTATAAATATAGAGCTTCACTACTCACTGTGTGTTATTTTTCTGATGAAAACAGATCTTATTTAACTTAGATCTAATTCCCAATAAGATGGAAATCCTGGGTGTGGACTGGACTAATTCTGTTGATGGCGAGGGAGCTTAAATAGTTGAATACTCCAATGGGAAAAAAATCTCAATATAACAGCAGAAGTTAAAATTGTTTCTAACCTAACTTTGTTGTATGTACTAATTTTATGATTGGAGAATTCAGTTGTCTGAGCCTCTGCTATCCTCTCAAAGAAAAAAACAAATTCATATATAATTTGACCTTTCTGAGATCATTTTCATTATATACACTATTTAACAGCTTTAGATAATGTACAATTTGCATGGTTTCAGATGACAGCCATTTTTCATTAAACATTATTTTGACAATTGATCTGTAATAAGTCTTAAGCATTCAGTTTTGGATGTATTAAACTGATTTTTGTTAACTAAAGAATAGATTATGGAAAGAATTAAACTGATGAAATAGATTTAAGCCCTCATTAAAAATATATGCTCAATGCTATTATGACAAGAACTAGGTAATCACTACTGAAAGCTGGATATTTTGTGGCAATTTTTAGAAGATAAGTGGGACTTTAAGTCCTGTTTGAAATTATAAAATAAAAATTTGTCAAAGAAACATGCTCTGTCAGGATATTTTCAGTATTTAAGGAGTAAGATCTTCATTGCACTACAAATGGAAAAGGAGAATATGCATAATTTCTAGTGCCATAACAACTCAAATATGCCATATATTTAGAAGCAAAATACTTTATTTAAATAGCTGTTCTACAGATAATAGGAATGTTTCCTCAAATTCCTGTTCAGCAAACCTCTTCACAGACTGACGAGCATTTTGTCTGATCTGCAGCCTTTTTGCAGGAGATAATGAGAAGATATAAGCCATAGAGTCTGCATAGCCATCTTCATCTTCTGCTAGAAATCCAGTCATGTTTCTTTCATAGGGTACCACAATATCTAATTTTGGGCCTCCAGAATTGTGAGCAAGGATAATTATGCCAGCTGCCATACATTCAACAATTCCTATAAAAGAAATAAAACAGATTGCTGTTAACTGTGCTGCTTTCATTCTTTTTTAACAAAGAATGCCATTCTCTATTGCAACTTTGGAAGCAAAAGAAAAGGAACAATTTAGACTCTTATTTTTTTCTGATTTTAAAGTAGCACACATCACTCTTGCACTAATGAAAATTGGAAACAGCCAAAGATCACATAATGTATGCTCTCCAAAAAGTAGTCACTGGAGTACATTTCTATGCTTGTACTAAGATTCAATTCCTGATCTTGCAGTCTCAAAATCCAAGTAAATTACTCACAGAGGAGATTAAAAGACATGGTCTGTGACTAGGGGGTCCTCCTTGACTGGCAATTCCTGCTTCAACAGCAAGGGGAGGCCACGGGCAGAAGGGGCTTTGCCCAGCTTTGGTTGGTGCACCAGTTTCAGCCCTACCTGAACAAGGATGCCTGGCAATAGTAACTCACGCCCTGTATTACATTCTATACCAGGCTGCCTTTGAAGACAACATAGAAGTTACAGTTGATACAGAACGTGATGCCTAGATTGAGTGGGAGCATCTTGCTATATCAGAATAACACTATTTTGATGTCATTCTATTGGTTGCTAATAAGTTTCTGAGTCCAATTCAAATGTACTGAATGTATCCTATATGGATATTGTGTGTTCATAATGGGTTGATTTAATGTTGGATACCACTTAGTCTGTACAATTGGGGCAGGTTACAGATACTGTTAAATAAATAAATTTCAGAGAAACATTTAATGTCTTGCAGCACATTAGTGTATCTCTCCCATCAAACATTTATTTAACTGTTATGGGTTTCTGGGGTGATTGCCTCTTACTTGCTGATCTTTGTGTCTTATTTAAAATTCCTAAGTATTAAGTTTCAGTATTTAACAGAGTTGACAATATGGCCATGAATGTTGAAATATTAAGCAAATTTCAGAGTGTATGTTTATGATGCTATGTGAATCATAGCAAGTAGCATTTGCTATTTCTTAGGACTATGAGTGAACATAGAAAACCTGAGACAATCACTTAAAACCTTGTTGTGAATACAGTATATGGTTATTAATAGCCAGTATTCATGATAGTTTATATACAAGGACTATTTTGAAGGCCAGTATAGTAAGTAAATTACCATGCCAATTAGATGATATAGCTGTGGACAATGCAAATTAAATCTTAATCACACAATGTTTTACTCACCCAAAGAATCCAAGAAACTGTTCACAGAACATATACAAAAATACCCACCAATTCCAAAATGTTCATTCCACATGGTGTGAAGTCCAATAGTTGCATCAGCCAGAAGCTTCTTTAGTTCTTCGAATGGAATATTAACTTTGAATTCCACCTTTTTTTCAATGCCCAACTCTTGACAGAGCTTTTTAAGTTCATTTACACGCTGGTCGTCATCTAGGTTACGACAGCCCCCAATCAAAATAAGCTTTGGCAGTAGTTCCTGTCCTCCAGTTTTTGCCAATAATTTAGCAAAGGCTCTGATCTGCAGGGAGTGGTCTTTCTCTGGCCTGAACTGGCTTACAGAAACAATTGTTGGTTCTATAGTCCTCTTTTCTTCCTGCAGTGGAATATCCAGGAAAGTCTGTACATCACAAGGTGGATACACAATGCTTGTGCAGTTGCTACACCGCCAGAGGGAAAGGATGTGATTGAGAGTCCATGTAGAATTAACCATGACAGTGTCACTGCAAGAACCAACTAACCCATATATGGAAGCAAAAAAGTAATAATATACAAGTTTCATTTTACTTAACAGGGGATTTTTTGTGATAACGGCTGCATTATTAAATTGAGCATGCTGATTCCTGACCACAGAAAGCATGTCAGTGCTGATTGTGGGATAGTGAACATAACATCCTATCTTGCAACCTCCCAAATATTTAAAGAGAGGAAGCGTGAATGCATAACCCATGGAGTCAATGTAAATATCAGGAATACACTTCGTAAGAGCTTCCCAGCCAAGAAACAGAGATCCTAAGCTCTGACCTAACAGAGTGAAATATGGATAAACGGAAGCTTCTACTAAGTAGCGCCTATTCAAGAACACAAACTTCACAGGGTGTTTCAGTCTGATGTTGAATCGCCTGTAGGCACCTTCAAGAATATTCTCAGCTGTAGCATCAGTATCACCTGTGTAGACAACGTAGGAGGCATCTTTGTACCTGGAAATGAAATGTTTTCCTATTAAAATATTTCAGATGCAATAGGATTTCTTCCTCTTTTTGGCTAATTTTAAACCCATGGCTTAATGCTATATAATATCTGGACATTTAGAAAGTTACTCCCAAAGCGTTCACTATCAGGCTTTGCAGAAGCTTCTCAAAAAATTAACGACGAATGGAGCACATGAATGAACTTATAAAATGAGTAGTTAATCTAAGGAGCTCCTAACTGCAAAAATCCCTTGCAGTTTGCTATTTTCTTATTAAGAGTTTTTAATTTAAGAATCTTTAAAATGAGGAAAAATGATTAATTATACTGCCACACTATGCCCAGAGCACAGTTTTTTAGTTGGTTTCTTAAAGAGAAATTATACGCTGTATGAGCTCCAATCCATTTAGGGCATCAGACAGGTTTTCAGAAGGCCCACCTCACTGCGCAAATTTATATATATAGTTGTCTAAATCAGTTCTAAATTAGGTTTATGACAATGCAACCCTAAGCAAGTTTATTCAGTATGGCCTGCTGAAGTCAACTGGGCTTTTTCCTTAAATGTATTTTATTCACCCTTATCTGAGAACAGGTCCCAAGTGAGACTTAGTTTTGAGCCAAATGCATATAATTGTTATAAACCCAATCTAATTGGATCAGCACTGCTCTGCAAATGGCTTTTCAAGCTTACAAAAACTTCATAACTTATTTGCATAATGGCATAGGAACCTGCTGGCACATGGGAAGGCTTGCTTCAGTTACCCTAGAGCAGAGCTCTCCAAACTCTGAGGTTTATCTTCCTTGGGGAGGTGCAGACAGAGTCCTATGGAGGTGTGAAGAACCTTTTAGTTATACAGTGGGGCAAAAAAGTATTTAGTCAGCCACCAATTGTGCAAGTTCTCCCACTTAAAAAGATGAGAGAGGCCTGTAATTGTCA